AAGGTAGCTGAACACTTAATATTCTACCACTGAATATGATGTTACTTACTAGCATATGGTGACAGGTGTGAGGACAGCTGTGGACGTGAGGCCTCTGTCGGTCGGTACTCTTAAGTGGCAGGGGGATCCAGATCGAGTTCCATCTTTCCTCTGGGCTCTGGTTAATGACATCTGCTGACCCTCCTGACTGTTGGTAGGCCACTGAGTGATTGGGTGGGTAAAGTGACAAAAAAAACACTTTTAATTAATGACTTATCCTGTGGTTAAATCATTCACACTCCACTAGAAGTTGTTTTGAAAGTTTCCTTTGGTCACTACTCCTTGCATGGAGCCGCCTGTGACCTGAGTCCTGCCAAATAAGTGCTGTGTTTGTGCATGCCTCCCCCTGACAGGAAGCCGAGCCATGATGGTGCTGATAGCAGTAAGACCCATTAAGTCTGGAGACATATGATAGTATGAGACACACAGTGGGGGCATCCCTTTGGTCTGCTTGCCCCCCTCTTGTCATGTACACCACAACACACTCGGTTTTCCTGTGTTTTTTCTTGGCTCGGCTGAGGGAGAAAGGACTTCCATATGTTCTTTTAGGCTATAACATGCAAGCTAAAGGAGCCACCCACCTCTAGTGGATTGACTAGATAATAATGATGATAATAGGGATAATTGTAGACTTTCTGGCTGAGCAGGGTGCTAGAATCCCGTCATGAGGAGGGAATACAGATAATCATGAGTAAAATTTGGCTATCTGGTGGGAGGGCACTTAATCAGAGCTGTGAGAAGCAGTGAAACTGCAGTTGGAACTCCGTTTGAGGAATGCTTGGCCAATGCTTCCAGAAATGCTGACAGGAACACACCATATGCACACACAGCAAGTGCAGGCCTGCCATAGGCAGCATGACGCAACAAAAAAGTGGCGGATCTCTTTCCGTAGGGAGGGGATGATAAAAGGTTTAAACTCTGGAACCCACAGGGAGATTTCATACCATGGGTGTGAGTCCTGAGACCTTTCAGAAATCACTCAGCTTTTGTGCCGGTACATCATTTAAGAACTAGCATGACGCAATGTAAGGTCACGTGAACATAAAACAGCTGTTTGGCAGCTGATGGTATCCAGTATTCACGATAAATGACTCTCCATAACTTGAAGTCTAACCGTATACTGACAGATCAGAGGTCTGTTCGACAGCTCACACATACTTAAAATAATGGGCTCACACACAAAGCTGCTTTATCAAATGTTACCTTATTCTAATTAACGATGACACATCTTCTGGCCTTTCTAATTGTCATTGAAGAAGAGACTATTTCTTTTTCGCCTTATTCAGAGTGAGCTAATTATCGCAGTGTGACAGTGGACACTCAGATCAGTAACAGTAATCAGATTGATGTAATCATCCAATCCATGATTGTTATACTAATCAGTGCTATGACATGACATAGTAATGCTTAAGTTGCTATATGATATGATTTCTGATATATTTTCTCTCTCCTTTTTAACAGGATAACTGTGTCAAACAATGTGCTGAGTCTTGGTGTGTTTTAACAGTGTGCCTAATCTGTCATCAGCCCTGATTCATAACTAGAGGTTGCTGTCGGTTGTATTTCTGGCTCTACGTCAACTCTCCGGTAGCAGCTGTTGTAAGAGTGCCGTCCTCATCAGTGTTGATTACCTCTTCTAATTATATCTCGTGAAAAAAAGACAAAAGAAGCTGCTAATTGTTGTCATCAGGCTGTGTGTTTAGCTAGGAGGATGCTCTCTTAATGGCAATTCAAATGTTCCGTCCCAAAGAGGGGGCATTTATTGATATTTTGCAATTGATTTTTTTGTGGTTTAGCTTGATCTCAAGGCCTTAAAGCATGGTGACAGTGGGTAGGTTTACATGTACACAACAAATCAGGTTACTCCGAGATATCAAGTTTCACAGGAAGTCTGACAAATTGTTCACATGCACTGTGTGGGTCCCTGGACACTGTGCAACTGAGCATACATGCAGTGGGTTAATAGTCAGATTCCAGCCCTACTATGATCTTATTGTGGAACCGTGGATTAGGGCTGCATGATATGGTAAAAGGATCGTATTGTGATTATTTTCACAGACATTGCGATACCGATATGATTCATGATTCATGGGAAGGATCACTTTTGCGTCCCAATTTTCATTTTCTCTGAAAAAAAAATTCCGATCATGATGATGTGACACTTTTTAGGTCTGTTTCCAAACCAACATGTTTTTATATCTGGAAAACAAGATCTGTAGGCCAATGCACCCCTGCAGCACTACACTACTTCAAATCATATTTGTATCTGTTGCCTGCGACTTATTTTAGTAATACACTACATTATTACTGAATGTTGTCATAAAGATGGACCTGACCGAGATGATAATAGTGGCTGCACTGCCAGTGAAAGACCAGTGGTTGCTTTTTTGGAAAACATAACCGCATAATATATTCTCAGACTGAGATGGAATTCAAATTCTGATCACTGTGCTGTACTCACTGTCTGCTCACATTTCACATTTTATGATAACATCCTCACACTGAAAGAGTGGTGGCAAAGAATAGGCCTCTCAGGAATGCCATTGTGGTCATTGTCAGAGATCTCAGACCTGAAGCCCTCGGCCCTGATGAGGCCCAAAAATCTCAGAAGCTGCTTTCGAGACCAAAGCTGTCAACCTTAATAATGGCTGTTTTTACAGACAGGGTCAGATCTTTATTAGAACAAGATGGTGTGACTTTGTTTCATTACACTCTTCCTATTCAGTCTTCTGGGCCTTTTTTATTCACCAGTGCTCTTGGCCTCTGTGTCCTCTCAGCTAACAGCATTGCAGCTATTGTTTACAGTATTTGTGTCCTTTTTCAAAGTGTTGTGTTTTGGTTCATCCACTGCAAGATATTTATTCAGTCTTAGTGGTTTCACTAAGCAGTCATCATCAAGACATTGCTTTATACTATGGTTATGACACAAGCTGCTTTTGCTATCATTTCACCCAAATGACCAAAATCCAAAGCTCTGCTTTTATGTGTTCCCGACAAGAGCAGCTTTGGTTTTATGTAACAAAGGATGCCAAGACATGGGCCTGTTAAAGAGAATGACAGATGCTGTCTACTGTGACAAGCTGTTTGTCTGCTAGTGGTAAAATAATGTCTACTTGGCTCTGCTGGCAAGAGCTGATTACTGTTTTACTTGCCTGGTCTTTTTATAGACAGGCCCTGAATGTGTGTCAGTATATGCAAGTAAGCATGCGCATGCATTTAAGAATGTGTATGTGCAAATGCTACTTGATTTGGACGGTGTATATTCTGTAATAGTACGGGTTGGTATGCATGAGCTTTGCCTCTACAATAGCAATGAAAGATAAAGGGAGGGCACAGATTAGTGGTGGTGTGGTAATGGGCTCCGCCTGTACACAGGGTAGGGCATGGTTCTTTAGTAGTCAAGTTATGAGAAGGTTTTACAGGGTTTAAATTAGCCTTGGGTACGAGCTCAATACACCCACCAGACTATCTGCCCTCAGGCAAGAAGATACATTCTAGTTTGTTTAGATTTTATTTTATTTGGTCAGAATAAAGCCATGAAATTTAGTCTAACTGCATAGATTATCTACCATAGTTCTGTTTTTGTGCGCTGGCTATTTAATCGAGTTAAAGCAGTAGTATATAACATCAGAGTCACATAAATCAGACCAAAGAGGCGATGTCTGAGGCTGAAGTCATAATACCTGGTGAGGTGGAGCTGTGAGGAGTGTTGACCTGAATGAAGCTGAATGAGCCTTTAGTTTCTTACTACAGCTTGCTTATGTGATTCGACACATTGCATTACAAGAAGTAACTCAGCACATTCCTTTTAGACATAAGTAGCGTAAGGTGTGGGCGTGTGAAGAGACTTTCAGTTGTTGATGTGCAGGTGGAAAGTGGGTTGTATATGCGAGATCCATCCACGACTGGTTCTGCTGCTCTAATAAACCTGCGTCGTGGTCAGCAGTGGAGGATTGTGTTGTAGTGAGCAGCCTTCAGGTGTGACTGCACTGCCTCTTTATCAGGCTGTAGTCTATAGAGTCTATAGAGTTAAATATGTTGTAAACTGTCTAGGACAAGAGTGACTTTTGTACAAGTTAGAATTGCATAACAGAGCTGTTGTTTCTGGAGATAAAAAAAAGATAATGTGGCCAAGCATGTGTGTGTGTGTGTGTGTGTGTGTGTGTGTGTGTGTTGTAATATACGTATTTTATTATTAAAAATAATCAAATTAAATTTAGATTGTTTTTGTGTTTATGTAATGTGCATACTTGCATAGTGGTTCTGTCACTTGTCTTTATTCCTAGCTGACAGTGGAGCAGCTATGTGTTTAGATAAAACGGTGCTGCACTGCTGGACTTTGCTCTTTGTGTAAATGTGCATACTGTTCTCCCACCCATGCCTTCGTGCTTTCAGTTATTGCATTGACTCAGCATGTTATGCGATCGACAGGAGGGGCGGGAAAGTGTTCAGTCAAATAGAGAGCATTGTGTTCTTCATTGTGGCCCTTTTTAAATTGAACTGTAAACTGTGTTTGGAGTGGACATGAAATATAAGCTAGCTTTTATTCTTGAAAAGCAAACTGCTTTGATGAATCAGCGTTGCTGCAGAACATTCATTATATTAGTTTTCAGATGTTTGCATGAAGCCGTCTCACTGATTTGACATGCTTCATCACTCTGCAACCTCAGTGCTTTTGACACACTGGCATCCCTCCATTGCACTGGTGTTTATGGGTTTGTGGTGGTAATTAGTAACAGGGCTGTCGTAACAATGGCCGTGGGGACTTAATGAACTCATGAGATTGACCACAAGGGAAGCAGTCGGGAATGTGACCCATTTACTTAAGTCTTTGCCCTCTAACTCTCCCCTCTGTGGCAGTGTTGCAATAAACTGTTTGTGACACTCACACAGGCAAAAATACATACAAATATGAGCAATGTTTACGCGCGCGCGTGTTTATGTACACAAAATCTACAAAAATCTTCATTGAGCCGCAGAGAATAAAGCAGTTATTGTGTAGCGTTTGGTAGGGCTCAAATGATTATGGTAGATTCATTACAAAGACATAGACAGTCCCAACGAATTGGGACACTGGCTTTGTTGTTGTCATTCTCTGTTCTCCCTTCGTTTTGGACAGGGCTACGGGCAAACACACACACACACACACACACACACAACACCACACACACACACGCACATACACGCCATCCCCATCTAACCAGTATATTTGAATACTACTCCATTCCTATGTCATGTTGATTTCCTGCTCAGCCTGACCCTTAAATCAGGACAACGTATTTATTCCACTGCCTGTATGGCTGCCAGCATGACAAAGCCTTTACACAAGCCAGCAGAGATGTGCTTCTGCAGAGAGCGAACAATGGTTTGAATGGAATCACCATGGCTGACCAATTCAAACTAATGCAAGTAGGAACAATGGTGGAGTCTCTCATTAAGATACACTGTGTGCATGTTGGTGGAAGTGTACAAAAGTTATGTTTTTTACATGAGGCTGTAGATGTCTATACAAATATTAACCATCCAATAGCCCGCAGACATATACTGAACCTGTATTTGTTTTCATGTTTTGTTCCAGGCACTCTTCTGCAGAGATCAGAAAGCACTTCAGTGGGAACCATGGCTTTCAACACAGCCGAACCAACTCCAACGCTTCGGCCTCAGTGTACCTCACTGTGGTGAGTTCCCTGCTATAAAAAGATACCTTGGCTTTTAGAGTTTAGTCATTTTCATGCAGCATGCATTTGTCACCTTATCCAGGATGTATCTCTGAGTGATTCACAGTCTCCTAGAAAAAATTATCATCAGATTTTTGCATATGAGCTAAAGAGTGTAAGCCATGTAAGACATTTTGTTTCTTACTTAAATAAAGGGAGAATGCAGCAAATGTTGCAAATGACATATTCTTGTTGATATACATTATATTAAACAACTGTCTAACATGTTGGTGGGTTTAAGAAGATAAACAGAATGAAAATGAATGCTGTTTATATAATGTTACCTTGCTTCATGCTAGTGATGTAATGCTAGTTAAGGAGAAATTCATACAGTGACTAGAAGGTCAACGGAGTGGTTTTTCTCTAATGCTGAACTCACACAGCTTTAGTGTTTGTGCTTACACCACCAAAGGGCTGTAAGTATAATCACATCCTCTTTACTGTCATTAGTGCTGAGAAGGTCAGTCTCAGTGTGGTGTCTAGTCTTGAAGATTATAATTTTAATTGTAGAAATTGTGCTTCAACATACTGTAAGTTACTGGTTTTGCAAAAACCGCTGTGTGCATTTCAGCAAAAGAGCTTTTTTTTTTACGGAAGAATCTTTCCTCCTCTTTCAATAGAACTTAGTCATGGCCTAACATGCTTTTGTTAAAAAACAGGCTGACACTGCCTGTTCTTTGATTTAGCAGGGTTTGGAAAACCTAGTATCCCTTAGTTTCTGCAGAGGATTGAATGCAGTTATGACAAGTTGTTTTCTTGCCTCTTCAGTTGCAGCCTAGCAAACACTTAGATTGATTCTTGCTCTCTTAAGCAAGCAGACAGAATGATGCACAGTAATCCCTTGCAGGGATTTGTTCCCACTACACTCTTAGTCTCTCTGTGGCGCCCTCTGAACCTCTGTCTCTGCCTCCCAGATTCATATATTTCTTCTTGTTTTTTTTTCTATTTCTGTCTTTCCCTCACATTTCTTCGCTTTCTGTCGCTCAACATCTCTCTCGTTTAAAGTTTTCTAAAGCTCTTAGGCGCTAAGTCTCCTGACATATCTGTGTGCATGACTAACTGAGCTGAGGCCCTTTGATACTTTCCCAGTGATGATCCTTGAGCTCGTCAGCTGACAGGGTTTGAGGAGAGGAGTGCCCGCCCGGACCATCCATCCCCTCCCCAGCTTGTAGAATGCAACATGGTTTATCTCTAACCTGCTTGGGAAATGGGTCAGTGCCTTGGCTACTGACAGGCACTGGATGGGGGCCTGCTTACCTTGCAGCTTACACGGGCAAATCTTTAATATGGCCGGCTTTGGGATGCGGGAGAGGGGTTTTAATGCTTTAATCTCCAGGATGATAGATTCCCATTATTCAGCGTCTAGCACAGGGATGATGGAGGGATGTTTGCTAAGTGAAGGGAGGGATGTTTGTTGCTGCAGTTATGATGTGGATCATTTTGTTGATTATCATAACTATCCCTCTCTCGCTCTACCGCTATTTTTAGTTCCTAAGTATGACAAATGTTGACTGATCGCTGTTGTTTGTTGTAGGTTTCATATACAAATTGATAGATTAAGAGGAAAAGCCGCATGTGTGCAGCGCCTGTGTGTGTGTCTGTGTGTGTGTCTGTGTGTATATAAGCAGCACACGTGTTTGAGTGTGTGCGTGCGTGCGTGTGTGTGTGTGTAGTTTCTGTTCCTGTCTGTTGAAACACCAGTTGATGGAGGGACGTTTTGCTGATGTCACTTCCTTTTAATGTCTTGTGGTTTCTCCATTTCAACCCTAAACTGCACGGCACTTTGCTTTAACGCTCAAAACATTTTGTGGGTTCAAACAGTCAGTCTCAACTTAAACATCCATTTTGATTGGCTACAAACCCCTCTTCCACTTTTGGTAATGTTGATTGTTTCCTATTAAATCTGCTGGAGTTCTTAGCTTCTAGGAATATGAGGATCAACATAAAGAGGATCCGTGCACTGCGTTGTGGCTTAGTTTCAACAAAAAGCCCTGAGCGTCAGTAGGTGCACACTGTAGGTTCCCATATCCGGACTGCGCCATTTTGTACGCTTCCTTTTTATGGTGCTGTTTTCAGTTTTCAGCCGGGTAAGTCTCCAATATCCATATGAGCACAGCTGTCCTTTAGTGAGACTTTAGAGCGAGATGATTGGTAAACTTGATTGTCTTAAATGTTGTGGTTCAAGTCAATTGTTGCTGTATTTTGTAAGAACATGGTTTGTCATTAGTTCTTTATGTTTTTCTGTTTTCCGTTCCAGCTCATGTTTGCATATGTGCATATTGAGAACAGCAGTGTTGGCAGATGCATATTGTTTTTTAAACGGATGATTGTTACTTAAATAAGGCTCCAATAGTGATTGAGATAACAGTTGTAATTTGTGTTGTAATTTTCTCAGAAAAGCTTATTTTCTTTGTTTATTGTAGCATGTGTCTGCACAGAATTTTGTCTTTTAACAATGCTTCCTGCAGGTAAAAACCATCTTCATACTCATAAATAGTTGTAAAGGTATCGCCTTTGTAATCACCAGTAAGTAAGCAGATAGAAAGTCTGGTCGTTGATTTGGCGAAGGGAGGCAGTTCAGTTTTTTGCTAGCTCCTCTCAGCAGCAGGCGCCGATCAGAGGCATGCATAGATTTGCATTCATTTGTTTTTGTTAGCCTACACACCAAACAAGAATAAAGAGGCCATGCTACAATGATTGTTTGAACTTTTTAGGCAGAGAGCCAGAGAAATGCGCAAATGGAGAAGGCTGCCACTGTAGAGACACTGTTGAGGTTCACACCCACTCTAGAAAAGAGGACTTGAAGGTTTCATCTACACTGTAGGCCTGTCATTTAAGATCATTATGATACAGTTGTTCTGTCTGGCTGTCTGTGTATTCTTTCTTGCTTGTGTTACATGCTAACCATTAATACTAACTCATGCGATACAGTTTGCTCAATAGAGAAAAATATCCCTTAGGGTGGATTGATGTGCAAAAACATGTCTGAAGGCAACTGGAATTTGCTCTGCTTTTAAAAGTTGAGTGCAGCAGTGACTCACCTTGTTGCCGCAGTTATCTTTTCTATTCCTCTTCTGTGTGCACATTCTGCATTACCTGTTAGTGTGCCTGCCATTGGCTGATTTGGCTCTGCGTTTTTCTTTTTTCTCTCTCTGTCTCCTGTACACACACTTTCTACTTTCTCTCACATCCAGTCTTTACCCGTGTCATGCTTCTTGTGTGGGACAGTATGCACGATAGAAAGCATGAATATTCTTTTTGATTGTACTAAGGCAGATTCTCCCTTAAAACTATATGTTGAGAAGACAGTTTTCGTTTCTTATTATATATAATATAATATTTATTATTTATGAAATCTCTCAGTATGATATTGTGGTCTGAGTTTATTTTCCAGCCTTTTGCCTACCTCAACCACAGCCTGCAGACTGTATTCAGATTAGAGGTCTGCCTAGTTTTTCACAGAAACACCTGCTCCATGCAGGTTCCTCTTTTACAACCAAAGCCAGCCGGGCACCACAAAAAGGACGTGTGTTATCTCATCAGTTGTGTTTCCCCCCCCTTGTGAGCTCTTTCTAATGATGAAAAGCATGTCTATTATTCCCCTTTAAGTGCCAGTGGGAATTTGTTTCATTGTGTGCACTGATGATTTGAACAATGTGTACTGATTCAAAGACCCAAATGAAAATTTCAGCCCACTTGCACTGTACATAAAAGTGATTACAGCTTTGCCTTTGATCTGCTGTAGCTCCGGAGTGCAGGCTGATAGTGTTTCTGTCTAAAAATAAGTTAACTGAAAAAAAAAAGCCTGGTTGTCTGATACAGGCCAGTTTGTTCCAGTTTCTATTTATGTATGTGCTCCAATCTTTGTTTCTTGTTAGGTATGAGCTATTAGATAATAGTCATGATTCAACATGTTTGGTCCCGCCTCCTTTCCTAGCTTTTCTTTTTCCTCAGTTCTTCTCTGCACTATGAGAACTGTACAAACTCATCAATCACCCTTACACACACGATTAATGTATCCTGTTGTTTGCTTGTTGTATCTTTCATATTCACTTTTGCTTTTGACACTATAACCCTAAACCTCATTACACAGTGCTGAGGCAGTATCTTGGCATGATTTACATGTATACCTTCTTGGCAAATGATTTACATTTACTCTTAAGCTATTCTGATCATCTATGTGTCCTAATTTTTCCCTTCCTCCCTCTCTCTTATTGTGCAGCCTCAATCGTATGAAGCGGTGGAACCCTTAGACCTGGAGGAATTCCTGATTTCACAATTAAGAAGTGGAGACTCCGTCCTGATGCAGGAACTTGGAGACTTCCCTGACGATGACCTGAAGGTGGAGCAGGTGGAGAAGGAGTGTCGCACTGTTCGACACTCTGTCCCTGAAGATGGGTGGGTCCCAGGATATCTGAAATTGACCTTGGAAGAATCAACACACTCTGACTCTGAAAAAAGAATCTGAGTTTATTTCAAATCCTAAAATAAAAAATAAAATAGTGAAGAATCATTTCAGTTTCAGGTCCCTACAGTTTTGTTTACAGTAAAAATTGTTAAAAAAAAACATCTCTCTAGCATTCCAAGATGGTTCTTAAGTCCATGTAGGAAAGTTAATCTCTATACTGTATATGTAGCAACTTTTGAAATCTGAGTAACGATGAGCTTCTTGACAAAAATATGAAGAGAAATGCATTATAAAAGACTCTTAATACGAGTAAAGAAATAGAGCAGACGATAATGACTGTTTTATCAATAGAAGCATTTATAAAGAGAAATATAAACAAGACTGATAAAAGACAATTAAATAAGATACTACATTTATTTTTATATTTAGTCATTCAGGCATTAAAATATGCTAACTGAGATTTATAGATATTAAGAGAATCTATGAGCTGTAGTTACAATGTCACAGAACATTCACAGAACATTAAAATACCTTCAGCGTAAAATAATTCTGTCAACTGTGCCGCACCTTGACCATGAAGTACAGATTAAGATAGAAAAGGAATGTAAGGTTTTCAGTCTGTGAATGTTTGCATGCCTGTCTGCATGAGAATGTGTTTATGTGTCTTCTTATCCTCCTTCTCTCTCTCTTTGCAGAGTGGAATTGGATCCACACGTGAGAGACTGTGTGAAGAGTTACATCCAACCGTGGCTTGTGGTCTCGAGAAGGTACATTTTCTCCTACAGAAACGCAACAGTTAGTGTTCAGATCTGACATGCTGTTTGTCGGAGGAGTTTTACAGTCGATTCCTTACAGTGCAGACACACAGAATTCGGCGGGGATGCATCTATTTGCCGCTCCGGCTGGTGTGGGACGAAACTCGTGATTTGTGCGGTGTTTGGTTTTGGATCTGCTGTTAAATTTGCCCAGAAACCTTTACATATTATGGGTAAACAGTACACTAAAACATGTTTTTGATGCAAGAAATAGGCAATGAAGTAACAGAATCTGAAGTTGAAGTCGAGTCATGTTTATGCAAATTCACATGAAGTCTGTGGCTTGTCCATTATGCACTTTGTGGCCAGATCTCCTTCTCTCCAAAATGAATAGGATTAGTCGACTTGACATCAGTGTGCCTGCATTATTTGGTCTTTCATACACAGTGCTTTGTGTTTTGTTTGATTGATTGTTGATGAGTTAGCAGAGTCGTGCTATTTACTTTTTAAATGAAAGACCATGGCAATTAATTTGACGTTGGAGCTTGAACCGAGTTTAGTTTGGTTGTTGTTATCATGGACTGCTTAAGTTATTTTTTATGTTTCTCCATGGTGCATGACATTATGAACATTATGCCACCATGTGGGCATTCATCACTCAAAAACAATGTATGATGGAAACAGTTGCCCCCTGAGTTTATCATCTGATTGTTCTCCTAACAGCACAAATTAAAGAGGTTTGAAATACAGATGGGTGTACAACATCAGCTCATCACAGATTTCTATAATTGGTCATCTGTTCCAGGCACAGCATGCCCATGAAGTACATGTGTGGGTTTGTTAAGTTTTCAGTCCACACAAGTAGCTGTCTGACAGTCTGCTAACACTGGTCCAGAGCCCATCTCTGCTGGCACAGGGAGGAGCGTCGCCAGCTAAACTGGGTCATTTGGAACACCAACACATCAACCAATTATGGCCAATTAATCCTACTATCTCCGCTCTGGATCTCTCTATTTAACTGGCCTGTTCTGCTCCATTTGACAAGCATTCACTCTGACAGCTGATATACCATTTCTTTCTCTCTTCTTTCTCTCGCAAACAGTAGCTAGCATTAACTGTGGCTGACCCAGTGCTCAACGAGGCTCTGCAGCTTACAGAGCAAAGAACTCTACAGGGTTTAGAAAAGTCTGGAATATCAAAGAAACTGCCAACAAAACTAATAATAAAAAATGGTTGTCATAAGCTCAGCCCAAGGCATTTGAAGGAGACATCTATTTCTATTATTATTTTTGTATTTGACCATCATGACTATAAATAATAACAACATTATAGGGGAGAGCCAGTACAAAAGTAACCGATTTCAGCACAAAACACTTGATGTTACTTTTGTTCCTCCCCTTCGGTAACAACAAGGGTTTCTTTTGCACCTTATATGGCCTTTTTTCTTTCTCTGTATCATATTATCTATTGTTCTTTTTACGTCCTTTGATTTTTTAAAAATAAACTCAGACTTTTGTTTTTAGTTTTGACTGGGGTAGCACTGACTTGAATATATACTTATATATATATACTTGAATAATGAAATATGTGTTTCAGTTTTTCAGTCACTCCCAATTTATGCAATTCCAACACTGTTTCAAAAATATTCAGATACACTAGGTAAAAATAACACATTTATACCACATGCAAAGAAATTAGTATTTTTTTTAACTAAAACTCCATGGGAGGCCAAAGGATCCATTTGAAAATAGCCATCAACAAGCTAAACGACTTTAATGAGGCTTTGTACAGGTGGAGCTACAAATTACATGTCAGCTCATCACAAGGGGTCCAGCGCACATCTGGATAAACGGTTGGTTGGTCCAACCTGACTGTCAGACTGCTTGTGTTTGTTCTGTTAAACTGTTGTGGTGATGTCAACATGTTCTCAGATCTCACTAGTAAATTAAGAGAGTGCAATGTTATTATAACGGAAGAATACAAACACATTTGATTTTCAATCAAACAAAATTATCCTTTAAACCTTCTGTCTGTATTGTGTTCCTCAAATTTGCTCCTCCTTCAAAACAAGAAAAAGTATACAGAGAGCAAGAATTTAGCTTCTAATGTACTGTCTTGCATAGCTGATTGATCATCCTATAGGGGCTGGTGCATCATGGGCATTGGAAAGGACTGTTTGGCAGTGGTTGCACAAAGTCCCTCTGTGATAGATCAGCTTTCAGGTCTGAGGTCAATACTGAGGAAGAGGAGAGGATGTAGCCGTTAAGCCATGCTGTCGGTACTGCTCAGGTCTGAGTGGATCATCGGATTCTGATACACTTCGCCCCGATTTGGCGTGCCCAATTGCAATCCCACTGTGGTAAATATAGACAGCTGTACATTTGTTATGATTACATTACTTATAATCAAAAACTCTTATAATCAAAGAGTTTTTGCTAACACACACAAACATCAGGTAAGTACAAAAACACCAGACACAGCAAGAAGGCCAGCTCACCATTTGTCTGCAGCCTTTTATTTCACCAATCTCTCAACAACCACTAAAAGTCAGTCCATGATTTGTTACAGCTTAACCTATAGTAATGCATCAAAATGTATTAATTAGCTAAAGTTATTAAATAAGTATAGTGCAGTAAAAGGTACATACAGGCCTCCAAAATATATTGAAGTAGAAGTATTAAGTAGCATAAAATGGAAATACTCAAGTACAGGTACCTCAAAATTGTACTTAAGTATAGTACAGCCCTACTACAAATAGCTTCATTGATAGCTTGGGTATCTATATTTTGTATATTACAGAACTTCGAATGACCCCAAATACAAGACTGAATGTGCGTCTGTAAATGGCACAATGATTTTATAAACTGAAAACCGATATTTCTTTGCAACAAACTGGATTACTTTCAGCTGTGGATTATATCCACATTTGGTGCTCTAGTGAGTATTTGGGGCAGCATGATGGTCTTCGTGGAAATTAGTTAAAATAAAATGTGTGTGTTTGTGCTAATGAAGGAACATGTCACCCAATGCAACAGTGTGGCTTATGGATGTGTTTTTGGAAAACAGTGGAGCTCTATGGCACAGAGGAAGAAGATATACAAGGCTTTGATACACACACAATACTTGTTAGGAGACATCATTGTTGGTTTTGGATTTTATGAGAATAAAACCTGCTTATCAAGTCTTTGTCAGCATCGCCTCATCCTGCACTGTTGCTGCATCCTGCTCTATTAAACTCAGTTGAACTGACATACAGATACCTACCCACTCTCCGCCTGCTCCACAGTTATTGATTGACCTCTTATCCACCAACAACTGCTCTGAAGTAGTCTGAATCCAGCAAACATGCAGGCTGCTGCATGTGTGTTTGAATATGTGTGTGTGTGTGTGTGTGTGTGTGTGTGTGTATTTTGGCATATAAATATGTCTATGTTTTGCTGCGTAGGTGTATGTGAGTCATACTAAAGCCTCCCCTCTTCCTTCTGGAATACAAACAGCTGCATTAAAGCTAAAGACGTGTGTGTGTGCAGGCATGTGCAGCAGCAGACCGCTGTGAGTGGGCTGCCATTTTATTATTCATATTATGTGCTAGCTCTGTCTAATCCCTCTGCAATTGTGTAATGTTGTCCTCCATTAACAACCTGCTGTGCACTTTTATCTTCTGTTGCTTCTGTTACTGAACAAAATACGTTTGTTCTGTTGTCCTGTGTTGTGTAATTGTTCAATTCAAATACTGGGCTGAAACAAGCATAAGATGAGGAAGCGAACAGGAAGCGTTGCATTTTATATCTTAAAGAGTATTAAGAAATAATTGAAAGATATAATGTAGCCTTTCTGAAAATGAGAGCTGGATAAATGAAGGAAGTTACTTATATGCAGCTCTTCTACACATACAAGTGTGTACATAAAAGGAAATCTTATCAGGTGCCCTAATAAAATCAGCTCATAAATCCACATTGTTGTATTAAAAGGATAAACACTACACTGTTCCATCCATACTCTTCCAACGCAATTGGCATGCACTTGGCTATAGGGGGAATAATACATTTCTATGAGGGGCCGTACATGACATAATTCATTCTGGCCCTCTCACATACATACATTCTCCTTTCACATACATATATATTCACTCTCACATACATACATTCTCCTTTCACAT